ATAGGAGCCACAAGAGGACAAATACTAGAAGATGGCTGTACCAACATAGCAGCCACAAGAGGACAGATACTAGAAGTTGGCTGTACCAACATAGCAGCCACAAGAGGACAGATACTAGAAGATGGCTGTACGTATATATAGGAGCCACAAGAGGACAGATACTAGAAGATGGCTGTACCAACATAGCAGCCACAAGAGGACAGATACTAGAAGTTGGCTGTACCTACATAGCAGCCACAAGAGGACAGATACTAGAAGATGGCCGTACCAACATAGCTGCCACAAGAGGACAGATACTAGAAGATGGCTGTACCAACATAGCAGCCACAAGAGGACAGATACTAGAAGATGGCTGTACCAACATAGCAGCCACAAGAGGACAGATACTAGAAGTTGGCTGTACCAACATAGCAGCCACAAGAGGACAGATACTAGAAGATGGCTGTACGTATATAGCAGTAATAAGAGGACAGATACTAGAAGATGGCTGTACCAACATAGCAGCCACAAGAGGGCAGATACTAGAAGATGGCTGTACCAACATAGCAGCCACAAGAGGACAGATACTAGGAGTTGGCTGTACCAACATAGCAGCCACAAGAGGACAGATACTAGAAGATGGCTGTACCAACATAGCAGCCACAAGAGGACAGATACTAGAAGATGGCTGTACGTATAAAGCAGCAATAAGAGGACAGATACTAGAAGATGGCTGTACCAACATAGCAGCCACAAGAGGACAGATACTAGAAGATGGTTGTACCAACATAGCAGCCACAAGAGGACAGATACTAGAAGATGGCTGTACGTATAAAGCAGCAATAAGAGGACAGATACTAGAAGATGGCTGTACCAACATAGCAGCCACAAGAGGACAGATACTAGAAGATGGCTGTACCTATATATAGGAGCCACAAGAGGACAGATACTAGAAGATGGCTGTACCAACATAGCAGCCACAAGAGGACAGATACTAAAAGTTGGCTGTACCAACATAGCAGTCACAAGAGGACAGATACTAGAAGATGGCCGTACCAACATAGCAGCCACAAGAGGACAGATACTAGAAGATGGCTGTACCAACATAGCAGCCACAAGAGGACAGATACTAGAAGATGGCTGTGCCTATATATAGGAGCCACAAGAGGACAGATACTAGAAGATGGCTGTACCAACATAGCAGCCACAAGAGGACAGATACTAGAAGATGGCTGTACCAACATAGCAGCCACAAGAGGACAGATACTAGAAGATGGCTGTACCAACATAGCAGCCACAAGAGGACAGATACTAGAAGTTGGCTCTACCAACATAGCAGCCACAAGAGGACAGATACTAGAAGATGGCTGTACCTATATATAGGAGCCACAAGAGGACAGATACTAGAAGATGGCTGTACCAACATAGCAGCCACAAGAGGACAGATACTAGAAGTTGGCTGTACCAACATAGCAGTCACAAGAGGACAGATACTAGAAGATGGCCGTACCAACATAGCAGCCACAAGAGGACAGATACTAGAAGATGGCTGTACCAACATAGCAGCCACAAGAGGACAGATACTAGAAGATGGCTGTGCCTATATATAGGAGCCACAAGAGGACAGATACTAGAAGATGGCTGTACCAACATAGCAGCCACAAGAGGACAGATACTAGAAGATGGCTGTACCAACATAGCAGCCACAAGAGGACAGATACTAGACGATGGCTGTACGTATATAGCAGCAATAAGAGGTCAGATACTAGAAGATGGCTGTACCAACATAGCAGCCACAAGAGGACATATACTAGAAGTAGGCTGTACCAACATAGCAGCCACAAGAGGACAGATACTAGAAGATGGCTGTACCAACATAGCAGCCACAAGAGGACAGATACTAGAAGATGGCTGTACCAACATAGCAGCCACGAGAGGACAGATACTAGAAGATGGCTGTACCAACATTGCAGCCACAAAGGGGCAGATACTAGAAGATGGCTGTACGTATATAGCAGTAATAAGAGGACAGATACTAGAAGATGGCTGTACCAACATAGCAGCCACAAGAGGACAGATACTAGAAGATGGCTGTACCAACATAGCAGCCACAAGAGGACAGATACTAGAAGATGGCTGTACCAACATAGCAGCCACAAGAGGACAGATACTAGAAGTTGGCTGTACCAACATAGTAGCCACAAGAGGACAGATACTAGAAGATGGCTGTACCAACATAGCAGCCACAAGAGGACAGATACTAGAAGATGGCTGTACCAACATAGCAGCCACAAGAAGACAGATACTAGAAGATGGCTGTGCCTATATATAGGAGCCACAAGAGGACAGATACTAGAAGATGCCTGTACCAACATAGCAGCCACAAGAGGACAGATACTAGAAGATGGCTGTACCAACATAGCAGCCACAAGAGGAACGATAATAGAAGATGGCTGTACGTATATAGCAGCAATAAGAGGACAGATACTAGAAGATGGCTGTACCAACATAGCAGCCACAAGAGGACAGATACTAGAAAGATGGCTGTACCAACATAGCAGCCACAAGAGGACAGATACTAGAAGATGGCTGTATGTATATAACAGTAATAAGAGGACAGATACTAGAAGATGGCTGTACCTATATATAGCAGCCACAAGAGGACAGATACTAGAAGTTGGCTGTATGTATATAGCAGTAATAAGAGGACAGATACTAGAAGATGGCTGTACCTATATATAGCAGCCACAAGAGGACAGATACTAGAAGATGGCTGTACCAACATAGCAGCCACAAGAGGACAGATACTAGAAGATGGCTGTACCTATATATAGGAGCCACAAGAGGACAGATACTAGAAGATGGCTGTACCAACATAGCAGCCACAAGAGGACAGATACTAGAAGATGGCTGTACGTATATAGGAGCAATAAGAGGACAGATACTAGAAGATTGCTGTACCTATATAGAGCAGTAATAAGAGGACAGATACTAGAAGTTGGCTGTATGTATATAGCAGTAATAAGAGGACAGATACTAGAAGATGGCTGTACCTATATATAGCAGCCACAAGAGGACAGATTCTAGAAGATGGCTGTACCAACATATCAGCCACAAGAGGACAGATACTAGAAGATGGCTGTACCAACATAGCAGCCACAAGAGGACAGATACTAGAAGATGGCTGTACGTATATAGCAGTAATAAGAGGACAGATACTAGAAGATGGCTGTACCACCATAGCAGCCACAAGAGGACAGATACTAGAAGTTGGCTGTACCAACATAGCAGCCACAAGAGGACAGATACTAGAAGATGGCTGTATGTATATAGCAGTAATAAGAGGACAGATACTAGAAGATGGCTGTACCTATATATAGCAGCCACAAGGGGACAGATACTAGAGGATGGCTGTACCAACATAGCAGCCACAAGAGGACAGATACTAGAAGATGGCTGTACCTATATATAGCAGCCACAAGGGGACAGATACTAGAAGATGGCTGTACCAACATAGCAGCCACAAGAGGACAGATACTAGAAGTTGGCTGTATGTATATAGCAGTAATAAGAGGACAGATACTAGAAGATGGCTGTACCTATATATAGCAGCCACAAGGGGACAGATACTAGAAGATGGCTGTACCAACATAGCAGCCACAAGAGGACAGATACTAGAAGATGGCTGTACCAACATAGCAGCCACAAGAGGACAGATACTAGAAGATGGCTGTACCAACATAGCAGCCACAAGAGGACAGATATTAGAAGATGGCTGTACCAACATAGCAGCCACAAGAGGACAGATACTAGAAGTTGGCTGTACCAACATAGCAGCCACAAGAGGACAGATACTAGAAGGTGGCTGTACCAACATAGCAGCCACAAGAGGACAGATACTAGAAGATGGCTGTACCTATATATAGCAGCCACAAGAGGACAGATACTAGAAGTTGGCTGTATGTATATAGCAGCAATAAGAGGACAGATACTAGAAGATGGCTGTACCAACATAGCAGCCACAAGAGGACAAATACTAGAAGATGGCTGTACCAACATAGCAGCCACAAGAGGACAGATACTAGAAGATGGCTGTACGTATATAGGAGCAATAAGAGGACAGATACTAGAAGATGGCTGTACCTATATATAGCAGCCACAAGGGGACAGATTCTAGAAGTTGGCTGTACCAACATAGCAGCCACAAGAGGACAGATACTAGAAGATGGCTGTACCAACATAACAGCCACAAGAGGACAGATACTAGAAGTTGGCTGTACCAACATAGCAGCCACAAGAGGACAGATACTAGAAGATGGCTGTACCAACATAGCAGCCACAAGAGGACAGATACTAGAAGATGGCTGTACGTATATAGCAGTAATTAGAGGACAGATACTAGAAGATGGCTGTACCTATATATAGCAGCCACAAGAGGACAGATACTAGAAGTTGGCTGTATGTATATAGCAGCCACAAGAGGACAGATACTAGAAGATGGCTGTACCAACATAGCAGCCACAAGAGGACAGATACTAGAAGTTGGCTGTACTTTTATATAAGAGCCACAAATGTGCAGATTCTAGAAGATGGCTGTACCTATATAAAAGTCACAAGAGGACTGATTCTAGAAGCTGGCTGTACTTATATGTAAGAGCCACAAAGGTGCAGATTCTAGAAGCTGGCTGTACCTATATAGAAGTCACAAGAGGACAGATTCTAGAAGCTGGCTGTACCTATATAAGGGCCAAAAGAGGAAAGTTTAAGTTGAGTTAAGTTTATGACAAACTGGCAGATAGATGGTACACAATGATGCACAAGCTCCTTTTAACTGCAACTTCAGGTGAGTAAAAGATAAAAAAAAATTGCTAACAATTGTTAACATTTCTGTCTGATATACAAGAAAATGTATTTGCATATTTGTCCATTAAATTTGATGTGCAAAAAGATGCGGTACTACATTACAATACAGCCACTAATACATATCACAAAATGATAGCATATTATCATCAAGCAATTACCTCTCTGAAAAAATGTTGTGTTTCTTCTAACATGTATTTTCTCCGAAAAGCATGAACTGAATCTGTAAAAGCTACAGCAAACACCTTCTTCTTGAAGTACTCAGGATAGCTATTAATCTGAAACATTGGAAACAAGGTAATCCATAGCATTAGGAAGTCGACAGGCAGTCAGCATACCTCACCAGTAGATATTTATAGGAGAAATTCCGTGTTAGTTCTATATATATGACATAAAAACAAACATAGTAGATTAATTTGCCTCTCCATTTGATTAATGCTCTGAAGAGAGTGGCCAACATATCCCTGACTGAATCTGCAACAGGCCTTCACCTTCATTTCCTCAAAGCTTAAAGGAGACGTACAGTACAAATAGGGACTAAACTCATTTATAAAGCATGTAAAACAAAGCACTGGTATTCCGGAAACTACTGGTACTGAGAGTTAATGAGCAGAGTTGTCATTATGTGACCTGCTATCACGGTGGAGAGCTGACTTGCAGACAATCACTGTTACTGCATAGGGTTTGATAGATTACTTGGGTTCACCATGACATCACCAGGCAATGACACCAATGAAACTGTTGAATTTTCACTCAGTGACCTTACACATAATCCTCTATATCAATACAAGCCTGTTGTTGTCTTAACAGCAGCAATGAAAGTGAGCTGGATCTATCAATCAAATGTCTAATTATCCTAATTGTATTGCTCTAGTGAGAAGAGAGCTTGTCACAAATTGATGCAGACCTAAGTAGTTTGTGGACATTACAAAAGTTAATCTTTTCATGTGTATATAGTTTTGCTCATATTCTGGATTGTCTGATCAGTAGCTTGTGGTTGAAATTATTATTACAATGATATGTGTTTGTGGTATGTTCATTACCGTAAGCACCTCCAATGTCCCATTCTGTGTCTAAATCTAGGTTCAGTTATTGTATGGTGGAGATCGAGCTGTTCACTTTTTTCATAATGACATTTATCAGAAAATTTAACTTTTTAAATCAGTGTCTAACACATCTTCATATATATTAGTTATCCTGTTTTTATATGAAAAGTAGTTTATAATGTATGTAGGGTAGAGTATTTATCTATTTTATATAAATTCTAAAATGAGAACTCAATTAATTTCAGGGCTTACAGAAACTGGTCATACATAATATTCTCAACTTCAAATTTCAAGTATGCAAGACCTTGAACTGAATATGTGAATTAATTTACACCAAAACTGTGCCAAATATATTGTCTGAGCATGAATTATGAATTGCATGGTTCTTTGTATTTGTTGAAGATGGTAGTTAGTCATGGATTATTTCTGACAATGAATGCAAGAAGTATTTCCATAACCAAGGTCTCTTAGTTTGTATTGATCTCTCTCATAGACAGATGCCTCAACATGCAAGAAACACTAAACGGCATGTCAAGTCTGCATCCAATTCTTTTCTCCATGCTGACAGAGCTGTATCTAACTTTCCTACTTTTTGCTAGGAAATTTGAAGAAACGACACTTGTTACTGTTGCTTGATGAACTAGTTCTCCCCCACAAAATACAATATCCCATTTCACATCTTCAAAACACTGAAAATAACAGAAAATCACTTCATTGTCATGTCGATTAATGCACTATAAACAAAGGGAAATGGCATGGACTCTCCACTGTGATGTCACAGGCCGACATGCATACATGCTGGTGGTGGGATCAGAGCAGTTGTTTGTTGCATTTTAGACTACAATGAAATCACATGACTTTTGGTGTAAATATGTAATTTCTATGACTATTTAACATGTTAAAAATTTGATTCAATAGATCTCCATAAAGTTTTAAATGAACCACTACTGACCTCATTCAAGACACCTGCTAATCAATTACCAATATCTTAGGAATGTATAAGTGAAAGTGAACCTGGCAACATACCTTTGAGTGCTTCACATTAAGTAGTATAGGTAATGATGGTTCTGGACCACTTCCACTGGAGCTGGATTTATATACCTATACCACCACTACAGATGGAATTTTTTATGCCAAAATGACTATGCGATTCAACGATAGTCATGAGATTAAGTTAAATTGGCTCTAGCTCACCACCACCTGGAGCCAATGATATAAATTTTTATAGGTAATGATGGTTCTGGACCACTTCCACTGGAGCCGGATTCATATACCTATACTGCTACTACAGGTGGCATTTTTTATGCCAAAATGATTATGTGATTTAATGATAGTCATGAGATTGGCTCTAGCTCACCAATACCTGGGGCCAATCATTGCTTCTATTAGTATAAAAATGATGATGCGATTCAACGAAAGTCGTTTTAAAAGAAATATCAATATTCATTAATAATGGATAAAATTTACTATAGCCCACGAGGGTATTGGAAAGGTGTAGGAGCAATAAAAAAATTAGCCACCGCGGCTAAGGTATCTAAAGATGTGGCCAAGGATTGGTTAAAGAAACAAGCGATGTGGCAAATATACTTACCGGCACCGCGTTATATACCGAGGAAGAAGTTTGATATTTTTACGACGAATGAAGTTCATCAGGCTGACCTCTTGTTTCTTCCCCACGATAAGGTAAAACGCAAAACGTATAAATACGCTTTAACAGTAGTGGATGTGGCTAGTCGATACAAAGAGGCTGAGCCATTAACCTCGAAAGAATCAACAGAGGTAGCTAATGCACTGAGCCGCATATCTAAACGCGGACCACTAAAATGGCCTAAGCTATTTCAAGTAGATCCCGGTCGCGAGTTTATGGGATCGGTAACTAAACTGTTAACAAAGAACGATGTCGAAATCGTCCGTGGTGAAAGAGAGGCCCACCGCAGTCAAGCTATCGTCGAAAGATTTAACAGGACATTAGCGGAACGTTTGTTTGGCTATCAGTATGGGATCGAAATGAAATCCGAGCGATTGAGATCAACCGAATTGGTGACACGATTATCAGCCGTTGTATCAGCGCTGAATAATGAAGTAACGAGATTAATAGGGAAGAAACCATCCGATGCTATTAAAATGAAATCCGTGACTTCCGAATCTTCAGCACCTAGGAGAGGCAAAGAACGAAAACTTCCGGATAAAGTAAGGGTAAGATATTTATACCAGGCCGGTGAACTCGAAGGAGGCCTACGTCGCGCAACCGATCCCATATGGTCCCTTAAGACGTATAACATTAGTCGATTGGTTACGAAAGAAGGAGAGCCTATTCTTTATTATCTTCAAGATGGACCGGGTAGGGCATTTGTACGAGAAGAGTTGTTCATAGTTCCCGACGGTACGGTATTACCACCATAACCATAAGCATAGGTATTTACACCATCATTATCAATCCATCTCTTTGTATCTAAGGGGGATAATGATGTCTTGTTCATTCTTAATCCATATATCCTATGATTGTAACTTCTTAAAGAGTTCATCTCGTGTTTGAACGTTCTACCGTTGATTAATGATTCTTTATACTGTTCATGTTTGATATGCTTTTTGACCACATACTTCTTAACACCCTTAGCTTTTCTTATCTCTCCATTATCGGACTTCTTTATAGAATACATCTTAGGTCTTAATCCCACATACTCCGCTATAGGGGTCCCAGCACATTCATCCTTCATCTTACCTAACACCTTTTTATTTACAACGCTGTGCAGTGGATTATCTTTAGGGTAATCGCTCGTGTCGTACATATCTATTTTTTCTGCCATATCTTTATACACATCCTCAACAAAGAATCTGTGTTGGTATATAACACCTCGCATCTATCGCCGTATTGCTTCTTAAGTTCGTTGTAATAAAAGTCATACATTAAGTGTTTTGACAAGTCCAGAATACTCATACCGACGTACACCGGTCTGTTGAATTTTATATTACTCTTATGCATATGCAACGCGGCTAAGTTGTTATCGAATATCTTGCTTCTGTTAAAAGCCGGACTGGCTATAAGTTTCCTGAGTCTTTCTTCCTCATTAGATCTGACTAATTTAACATCAACACGCTTCCTTAGATTCTCCATAGTTTTACCAAATACTGAGTTATTCATGAGCTTATAAAGATTCTTTTCGAAATCGCTGGTAGCTATCTTTCTTAAATCTGTGTTCAACCTTATATAGGGCTCCATCCAAGGGCTTTGATCGAACTTTAGAACTCTGTGTATTTTCTTAAGTTTCATACCTAATGATAGATACAACTGGAGATTTCTGTAGTGAACTATATATTTTGTCTTATCCATCAAATTTGGTACGAGTTTTTCTACGTTAGCTAACCTACTATTACCCATCAAGGAGCGTTGATATTCCGACATCCAATCTTTATTAACCATTAATCTTTCGGGAGCTAGCGGATAACTGTTATGGTCTTTATGTAACGAACTTGGATATTCCAAGTCAACTTCTAGTATGTACCCTTTATTCACTTCGATATCATTATTATGGATATTATGGATATCATTCACTTCGATATCATTGACCCATTCAAAACCACCCGTGGGTAAAGGTTGACTCATAGCCCATCCGTACAAATTGTTAGCGTCGAGATATAATATGTGGGTGTCGGGTTTACTGGGATCGTATCCTTCCACTAATTTATTATTAGCCTTAAAATACCTTTTAGCTGCCATCGATATACCACCTCTTAATCTTTTCTCAATAAACAAGTGCATATCGTAATCTGTGAGTAGTTTTAGTTCTTCTTCAACAATGCATCCCACGATAGTCCGGGACTGGAATAGTACCATGCCGGGTCCAAGCCATATTGTTTGAAACATGTCTTTCTAAATATCTCGAATATATCGGCGAGTAACAGTACATCGGTTTTTAAGTACAGATCGTGATAATCGCCTAAATTCTTACAACCTAATTTATCCCAGACCGTCAGAGCGTGTTCATAATCGGCATCTGTTATTCTAGATTCTGTTAAGTTACTATAGAATGATTCGAGGGGTGGTAATTCAGTTTCTTCGAATCTAGACCAATCATCCATATATTCGTAAGGATATACACCTTTTCTCAGCAACAAATGACGAGTTATCTTATCGGTATATTTATTTGTTATCGCGAAGTCATCGGGATTGTTCGCATTAGCTAAATTGTCCAGGGAAGATAACAGAAACTGTACGGAGTCTATGAATCTAA